ACCGTTGACCACCCTTTCCTGGTGAGTCTTCCGTTGACCGTTGACCACCCTTTCCTGGTGAGTCTTCCGTTGACCGTTGACCACCCTTTCCTGGTCTTGTGAGGCTTCCGTTGACCGTTGACCACCCTTTCCTGGGGAGACTTCCGTTGACCACCCTTTCCTGGTGAGGCTTATGTTGACCGCCCTTTCCTGGTGAGGCTTCTGTTGACCGTTGACCACCCTTTCCCGGTGAGGCTTACGTTGACCACCCTTCTGTCGTCGTATTGCTGTATTGGGAATAACAACAGTTTTTTCGTCTGCCGAGAGTGGATAGGGTTTGTGGCTCGCCCTTTCTGCCCCCTTCGCTCATGTCTGAGAAAACTCACCTATTTCTGGGGACATAGCGCACACCATGCTGTTCGCAAAGCGACTGCACAAAGAAAACCAAAGCCAATTGCAATTTTGCCGCTGTAATATCCCGACAAACCTATGAGTGAACCCAAAAAAAAAAAAAAAAAAAAAAAAAAAGAACTTCAAAAAACTTGAAAAAAGACAACTCGCGCCAATTGCAATTTGCCACAGTCAGTATTCCATACAAACTGGAAAACAAAAAGAAGAAAAATATATATATATCCCACAGTAGTTACTCAACAACGTGCATTTAGGGCATCAGGCCCCCCGCCGTGCATGCACGGCCTCGAACCGGTACCCTCAGCCTCAGGAACAAAGTCTCGTAACCACTACAACCCTTGGAGGTGTTATAAAAACTGGATCCATACTGGTCTTGATATCCAGCCCACCCCCAGGGCTATAGTGTCCTCGAACTCACACCACACACACACACAACACCACACCACGGACACGCTCGGACAACACGCAGTCCCGCCACCGCTACTTAACCTGGTCACTCCAAGACGGGCCAACTGCCCGTGGGTTCCACACAACCTGGAAGACAACAATTAATGCACAACTGTCACAACACCTTTTTTTTTTTTTTTTTTTTTTTTTTGAAGCCCCCATCGCACAGCATACCTGACGGATGCAGAGAGATAAGTCACCTTTTTTAAGGGATGTCCGTCCTGAAGGAAACTACCTGCTGTCTGCTAGGGAGAGCTTAATTGAGAAAAAATAAAGGTTGGCTGAGGAAAGATAATGCACCCCCCCCCCCCCACAGCAGAGAGACAACAATTTACCTGCATTTCCTCCGATAAGTCACCTGTAACAGATAGCGCATAGCAGCCTGGTACCATCCTCCCTGTATGCACAAACACCCACCACCACCACCACATAGACATGAAGCACTCTTAGCACTCCTTCCCCTTAGCACGTACTGAACACTCTCCGTTGCACGTACTACGCACACTTTCCTTAGCACATTCTACGCACTCACCTTTGCACGTACTAAGCACACTTGCCTTAGCACATTCTACGCACTCTCCTTCACACGTACTAAGCTCTCTCCTTAGCACATTCTACGCACTCTCCTTCGCACGTACTAAGCACTCTCCTTAGCACATTCTACGCACTCTCCTTCGCACGTACTAAGCACTATACTTATCAGAACACACCTACACACAGCCATCTGCTCTTTAGAACAACAACACAGTAGTAAACAGATACGTATGTTGTTCTTTCTTTTTTTTTTTTTTTTTTTTTTGGGGACAATTTACTTCAATCTATTCGTGGGGAGCAGCACATACGTATGTTGTTCAGGATGTCAGAAAGCAAATTCGAAAACGAGACAATGAAATCGTGCAATACACCCAGCCCATGCATGAACTGTTGAAATACAGACCTGAGTTCGAGTCCCGATGAGATCCGATGAGATTCGATGAACGAAGCAACTCCGAACTACTGGGGCGAGTCCATTCGATGATGATGATGCCTCAAGGCCATCGCCACTTGCCTTTTTTTTTTGGGGGGGGGGGGGGGGGGGGGGGGGGGGCGGACATCAATTGTACCTTCTCACCTAAAACCCAATGATAATAAGGAAAAGACCTGAAGGAGAGTCGAAAAGACAACCCCGAAGAGTAAAAAGAAGAAGAAAACGAAAAAGCTCACACAGAGAGAGAACGTTTTAAACCAAAGGGAAAAACGTTTTAAACCACAAGTACCATGACGCTTCCCTTGCCGAGCCTGGAAGCGCCCTGCGCGCCAAAGAAAAAATGAACCGGGGCACGGGCCTCCTTTTGCCTGACACCACCAGCCATTTCGCCCTGGTGCGCCGACCCGCGAAACTTGCAGCGCATTCATTACCAGCCGCGGCAGAAGAAAATGGCCACCGGGGTGAGGAACTGGTGGGTCTAGACTCTAAAGACTTGAGCCACCCACCACTGCCTCCGAGCCCCTTTTCGCTGAGCTGGAAAAGAACAGCACACCAAGCTTTCCACCAAAGCCAGCACGGCGTTTCTTTTTTCCTTTTGCCTCGGGCCTCGTCCATACGCCTGGTGGGTTCTTGCACAGCTGCACCTCACTCACCAAATGCGTATCATCTGGAGGCGTTTTAGTTCGGAGTCGACTTCGCTGTGAGGTCTTGCGGCGACACCTCACTTTTGTGAGTTTTCGGCAACTTCTTTTTCTGGTGGTGAGAAACTCGCCCCACAAATGTTTCGGGGGGGTTGATGATGAGGGGTGCGGCATGGCCTGCAGTGATCTTCTCATCTGACTCATAGAGTAAGGTTGGAGGGGTGCGCACCCCATTACCAAAAAAGAATTGAAGGCAACAACAAAGAAACAACAACAAAAATTGGATGGCAGTCGCGCTGTTTGCCAAAAGAGACGAGAGGGGTAAAATCGTAAAAGGAAAGACGGACAAACCTATTCTGAGCCATCGCGCTGCCCAGCTTCCCGAAGGATCCATCGATGAGATTACACTGCAAACAAAAGAAAGAAGAGCAGCGCAACACACACATTCCACAACTCGAAAAAAGGCAAAGAAAATAATGGCACCGTCAGCATCATCATACACACATCCTTAGGAGGGACTGGGTTTTAAAACCCAGGGATAACAGCTGACAGTGTGTGGGCATTGCTTTCCACCCACCATGAAACGAAATGGAAGTGTGTGGAGACCCCAGGGTACACCTGGGTTTTAAACAGATCCTTCGGTCAGACCGGGGTTAAAAACCCAGGGTACACCTGGGTTTTAGACCCCCGGTCTGACCGAAGAACAAAAAGTTTTCAGCCTGTTCATGCTTGCGCTACTCCTGGTGTATTTTTGAACATTTTTCTCAGTAGCCTGGCATGCCTGCGTAACAGGCCGGCGGGGGCTGCAGCCTGCAGCGTCAACGCCGAGAAGTTCTTTCTTTCTTTTTTTTTTTCCCGTTTTTGTTAAAAAAGAGAATACATTCACTCCACAGCGGCGTGGAGTTCTTGAGCTCGCGCGCAGTAGACCTCAGAGTCTGGGCCTCGCTCCACTACTCTCGAGATGTGCAGATCGCGAGGGAATTTTCCGCTAGAACGTATGGAGCGGCACACCTCGCTCCACTACCCTCGAGATGTGCAAATCGCGAGGGAATTTTCCGCTAGAACGTATGGAGCGGCACACCATTATGATTTTTGTCTTGTTTGCAAGTCCACAAGTAGATTACAGCAAAAACAACAAAAAAC